GGGATGCACATGAAAGCAAATTATAACGTAAATCAGGAACATGCCTAACATCTTTCAAAGTGAACACAGAGCCAGAAGAAAATCTAAGGCATACATCACCAGTTCCTAACACGTTGCATTTCTTTTCATTAGCCATAGACACATAGCCATTTTCAATTTTCTTGTAATTTGAAAAAAGATTTTCAAAGGGAGTCATATGAAAAGTACAACCAGAGTCAACTAACCAATTAGATTCACATAGGGAATTAGAAAGCACAGAATTAACACATGCATGATCACAAAGATTATTAACCATAAAAATATCACCCAATTTTTCTTCACCAAAAGCCACATTAGCATGTTCATTATGCTGATTTTTCTTAGGCTTAGGACAGTCCTTAATGAAGTGACCAAATTCATGGCAATTATAGCATTTTCTGGCCTTAGATCTAGACTTAGATCTACCCTTCCTATTCGCAGAATTCTTCCTAAAACTTGATTCTCCTTTACTAGCATATTTTTGGTTATGAGACCTATTTTGAGGTCTACCCCTAACATGCATCACCTCACCCGAATTCTTACTTCCCCTAGATTGCTTTAAATCTAACTCTTTGCTTTTGAGACCATTAACAACAATATCTAGCGTTATATTATCTCTACCATATTTAATGGCAGATTTAACATCACTATAAGAATCAAGTATGGCATTCAATAAAGCAATGGGAGTATAATCATCTATGTGTTTGTCACCGGACAACTTAATATCGGAAATAAGTTTTGTGAAAACATCAAGATTTTCTTCAATATCTTTAGACATGTCAAGTCTAAATTTGAAAAAAATTTCAAGTAAGAATATTCTACTCGGTAGAGAGGTTTCAGTATAAAGCTCTTCAAGTTTATCCCACAAAGATTTGGCAGATTCTAAAATTCCTACTTTTCTGAGCACACAATCAGATAAGTTCAAGTAAATTAGAACATGCACTTTCATTCATTTCTGCTTTTTTCTCTTCCGTATCGGAAGTCAAATAGGTTTGACTAATGGCCCTATATGATTTTTGTTGAATTAATATGCACTTTATTTTTTGTTTCCATATGCTAAAATCAGTTTTTCCATTAAATGGAGCCATTCCGTACTGATTAAATGCAGACATTTTCACACAGAACAATTAACACAAAAAATAAAAATGCAACTATAGCTAGAAACAACAGTTTAATATTTATAGGGCTAAACAATAGCACAAATAAATATAATTCTAGCAAGTATTAAATCAACAATAAATTTTAACAGTTTAATTTAAATGAAAAAAACAGTAAATGAAATTTCATTTAAAGAAAACTTACTGTAGCCAAACACTAGGAGAGTGTTTGGTCCTTACCCACCCACAAAGGGATTTTGGAGTGTTGACTGACAGTGTTGTGACCATGTTTAGCCTCCTGTGTTGATCATCTACGTTGTCCAGCCCAAGTACACTTCCAGGTGCAATAGCAAGTAGCAACACCTCTAGCTAGTAGGTCAGCCCAAATCCGTGAAGCCAACTTCACGTGAAAGCCAACAACGACAAAAAACCTCAGCCCTGTGACAGTTAGTCCTTACTCTTCCAGAATCAACTAGCACAAAAGGCCGCAGTTGTTCAGCCACCCTCCAAACTTCAACTCCAGTCGATGAATGGCTCCTGACTGCGAACCAAGCGACGAACGACGCCCTCCCTGCGACGGCAACCTCCGGCAAAGAGCTCTAAACTCCGTGACGGGAAGAGACTCCCAATGAAGATGAACAGTGACCTTGAAATCGACAAACGATTCCCGGCGTGAAGGGTCTGGGCGAGTCACGAGCAGTCCTTAAGCGTTGATTCCCAGGCAGTCGGCAGCTCCAACGGCGACCTCCACCTTCGAGCTCCGTAATCGACTAACGACGGACGGGGTTTGGGCGGTAAGGTTCTAGCACCACCAAAAAACCACGACTCAGATCTGGCAGATCTTCCAGAAGCTTCAACCGGCGGCGGACGGCGGCAGTCGGCGGCGGACGGAGACGGTCGGCGGCGGACGGCGGCGGATGGCGGCGTACGTAGGAATTCAGCGAAATCGACGGCAGAGACAGTCCTGGCTCTGATACCACTGTTGTGGATCCGTTTCTGTCTTGCCGGATTCGGCTCAGGTATGCCGGAGGTCGGTTTCCGGCGGTCTCCTTGTGCACACCAAGGCTAAGGGAGCAACTACCCCTATTCTACCTTCCTCACTATCTAACTCAGCTTCACAGAGAGCTGGTTTATCATTTTCTTCCCACACTCTCAAAGGTCTATGGAGTGATGGATATATACAGCACATGGAAGGAAGGAAGGTGCTGCCTCTCAAAAGAAACAACCTCACATGCAAGGCAGTCAACATCCGGAAGAAGAGTTTGGCTTGTTAGCTAGGAGTATGGGTTGATATGGGCTGGCAGATATGCAGGGACACTCAATCACACACATCACATTATTTGCTGAGATAATGAGTCTGGATACATTAAATCAGGGAGAAATAAACCAAGTCTGGTAACTGGAGTAAGAGTAGTTGGTTGCTAAATAGGGTGTCAACAATTATTAATATACAAAGACTATTTGGGCCAATAATATATTAACATACTCGAACAATAATATGAAACGGTTTTAACTTGAGGTGCAACGTATTCTCACTCGAGTATATATGCGAGTATACTACTGGGATGAAGTGAATTTTTTTGGATCGATCTTTTGGCCTTAAAACTTCATCTGCCACCAACTTTCATTTTATGCCTATATATACACTAACCTACTTTAATTTGTTGATTTGCTATGAATTCAAACCACCCACATACTATATCTCTGTTGGATTAAATTTTATTTAACTCTCGTTGTTCCGGTACCGGCTTACGTCGAAGAGATCGTTTTATCTTGGGGAAGTGTTTTCGCTAGTTGGAAATACTTTCTTGAGGACAACGTTTACGCGACTCGAGCTATATTATTTTCTAAAAACGCTTTTTTGCAGGTTTATCCGACCGAATTTCTCCAACGACATGTCTATACTAACACCTTTTAGTATATGAATTTTTTTTTATAGTGACCTTTTGGTAATCAATTCAAATTGCAAGACCGGTGACAAAACGAGTTGGAGCACAAATAAGAATCCGTTTATCTCATTGCGTGTGTTAAAAGAAAGAAGCGGCGTACCAATTGAACTCGGAGTCGAGCGCATATAAAGACGATCAGGCCAGGTATACTCCGTATCAATCCTCTTCATTTAGTACTCCGTAACAAAAAAAAGAACCTCTTATACTCCCTCCGTTTCAGTTTGGTTGACACACTTTCCTTTTTTGGACGTTTCAAAATGAATGCCACACTTCCCATTTGGTAAACAAAACAGTGTCAAACAGTGTCAAACAGTGTTCAAACAGTGCCAAACAGTGTTCAAACAGTGTCCAAACAGTGCCCAAACAGTAAAATTTACCCCTTAGTAAATGTTTTCCTTAAATGTTGACAAATCAAACTATGTCAACCAAACTGAAACGGAGGGAGTATAAGTCATAGTGATTAGAGATAATACAATAATGTTAATGATTATTATTTAAGGAATTAAGAATGAAGTGATTGCTTGAAGCCTTGAACTAAACTTAATAGTTATATAAGAAGAAATTGATCTAATTAGGACAAAAACATAATGAATACTCCAACTTAGGACTTAATGTTTTAAATTTCACAAATAGGACTCTCTATTACTATTTTACCCCTGATATCAAATCCCTAAAAATATTTTGTATTTCTTTCTTCCGATCTGCTCTGCCTCTTCCGCATCGATCCCCCCAGATCTCTTCCGTCTTCCCCATTGATCCCCTCAGATCTCTTTCGCATCTCTCACGTGTCCGCAGATCTTCGCTTCCACGCTCCCCTGCTCAGGTCGAAATATCTCCAGGTAAGTAATTCTTCTTCTTCTTCTTTCTTCTTTTCCTTCTTCTCCTTCTCCCTCTTCTCCTTCTTCTTCTCTTCTGTTCTCTGCTCTTGCATTTTAGATTAACTTTCTATTGATGTTTTTGTTGATCTTTTAGATTCATAATGAAAAAAATTTTTAATTTGAAAATTTTGGATTTGGAACTTTTGGATATGAAGTTTGAGGCTCTATCAACTGTTTGAAATTATTGGCCATGACAGATTGTCCGTCTATCAATTTTTATTATGTTCCTGTGTCAATTTTTTAAAATGCCACATGATTGGCAATTTTTTTGAGACATGATGGCAATTTTTTGGGTGATGACAATATTATATGTTTGAAAGTCCATGATTTTAACATTTTTGACAAAATGATGACATTTTTATGATATTGAGAATGTCATGTTGTTATCTAAAAAATGACATGTTTTTGCATCTAAAAATGTCATGATGTAATATAAAAAATGGCATGTTTTTGCATCTAAAAATGTCATGTTTGGATCCAAAAATGACATGATTTTTCATCCAAGCCATGTTTTCTTTTTATCTCGATGGCATTTCTTATGTTTGAAAAATGACATGTTTTTGCATCTTAGCCATGTGAGGCATTTGCAATATAGTAGATCTGCACAGGAGATGACATCTGCAGAGAAGATGTCGGCACCTTCGATGCATGGGATAATTCATGCCTCCATTCAATAGGTGTGCAGCGGCAGTCTCTCCTGACGGGTAAGCAGACATCAGTCTCATTTGGCGGCGGCGGCGGTCTGACCTGGCGATCGCGGCGGTCTAACCTGGCAGTGGCAGTTGTCTCACATGGCGGCGGTGGTCTCGTTATGTAGCAGTTGCAACAGCTTTGACGTCATCCCACAGGTGTTGCCGTGTTGGTGGTCTCTCGCTGCAGGGCGTCATGGGAGGGCTGGAATCGTTTGTTTCCAGGGTTAATTTTGTCCAACTGCTGTATTTTAGTCCTAAAGAAGGCCAAATAAACACGGTAGTCCTAACTTTGCAATTTTCCATTGTTTTAGTCTCAAATTTACTCTTATATAAGCCATATACTACGTACTAGATGTAAATTCGAATTAGGAAACAAAGTATGTAAGCGAGCAGATAGCAGATGAGTGCAAGTTGGGCAACGTAGTATCCTACTTTTTTCCCACGCCGGCAGTGAAGAGAGGATTCCTCCTCAGAATTGTCTATGTATTAAATTCCCTCATCCTAGTTCAAATAAAAAAACCTGTAACGAAGAAAACCCCGTGTCTTCATAACAAAACCCTAGGTCGCAAAATATGGATCATCGATCGAGCCGAAACAAGGATGATGATGATGATGATCATCATACTCCCATGGTGTTTAAGACTCAGCTCACGTTTCCGTGGGTTAGGACTGCAAGAGCTTACACGACCAAAGGGAGGATCGGCGGCGGCGGCGGCGGCGGCATGGTGGTGTACAAAGCATCTGTGGTTTCAAGTATTGCCATGGAGATTGATAGATGGTGTACTAGTACGCACACGTGTAGGACATTACGCGTTCTCAAGGTGGCTGCTGATCCAAAATCCATTTCAGAGCTCAAAGAAGAATTGGGCAGAAGCAGGGGCGTCGACCTACACCGGAATCTGATCCGAATCTATTCGAGTTTTGGCGGTGAACATGAGTCCGCCGCCGCTGTTGGTGGGCGTAAGAGGTTCTTGGCTGCCGTCCCGATGCTTGACTATACGTATGGCTCTGTTAGGACCATCATGAGAAAACGCGGCGGCCGCGGGTTTCAGGGCCGGGAGGATCTCATTCTCTGTGTGCTCAGACCAATCCTGAATGCTCTCCGCTTCCTTCATAAGCGGCGCATTCCGCACGGAGATATCAGCGCAGGCCACGTTTATGTCAGGTCCCCTTTAGGTGAAACCCATGCCATCCTCTCTGGCTCTCTCATCGGCTTAGGTTATGCTGCCAGTGTTTTTGATGACGATGGCTACGGCCGAGAGACTACGGGTTCTGCTTTTTTACCATTGTCTTCCATCTCTCGGTGGGCCGCTGCACCAGAAGTAGTCGCCTACCTGCATCCGAATCCTAATAACAACAATAAGCTTGCGTTTCCAGCTGCCGCGGCCTATTCTGAAAAGGCTGACATTTGGCTGGTGGGAATCACTGCCTTGGAATTGGCCTATGGCGCTGGCGGCCTCCAATTTCCAAACCGGAATGCTTTGGAGGCCATGGTTATGGACATAATTTGCAACAACAAACTCCCGGCACCTGCTACTTCTAACGGGCAGAATCAATTCCAAGGAGCAATTGAAACTTCAAAACAAGGGGCCATCAAAACAGAGGACACAAATTTGTTGAAGCATCATGCCAAAAAGTTGATCCCTCTATGCTCGAGTACATGTGACGACGATAGCAGGTCATCATTTTCCCGGAGCTTCACGAGCATGGTCATTCAATGCCTCGCATGGGATCCTACAAAAAGACCCACTGCTCATAAGCTTTTGTCACACAAATTCTTCCGGAAGAACTTTTCCGGATATGAAGACGATGGCAAGTACTTCTACGATCATCTGCTCATCAATGACAGCTTCACAACAGTACTTAATTAATATACAACTGTTTCATATTGTTTCCATTGAAGCTTGCACAGCCAACTTTTACCAAACTATATATGTTGAAGAATATCATCATATTATATGTGTTGCTACGTATTGGAGAAAGAAGTTTCTCATTCTTCATTCGTGTTTCTGTGTTAGCAGTTTACCATACTCACTTTCATTACTTTATTATTATATCAACTACTCCTACTTGACAACAGCCTTCCAATTAACCATAAAGCAGATCTTGGTGTTCAATTTGTCCTCACTCCTCCTTGACTAGGAGAGCAGCCTGCTCTTTTGCAGTTTGCACTGCCCAAGACCCTCTCCAATCAACAAGCCATCTTATAGCTTTAGTCTAGTCATGTAGCGGTGTAGGTTGGCCTTACACTGTCTTAAAAAAGTAGCCTAATAATATAATCAATTCCCTAGAAGAAGCTAAGGGAGCTCTAAACTTTCAGGGGAAACTATGGGGAGCAGTACTAGTTCAAAGATGTCCCAGGCATTGCCGAAATCAAGTTTGGTATCAATAAGTATTGCCCCAACAATACTTTCAACAATGTCTCCCAGTTTTTGTTAAGTAATCATGCACAAATAAGTAAGTCTAGATTAAAATACACTAAAGATCCATTTTAAACATGTAAACACTGAGTATTGAGTATCCATCACCAAGTATTGACAATTGAGTTTCACGTCGTTGTAGCATTTGTGAGATGGATTAGGGGGTTTCTAAAAATAAAATGAGTGTATGTGTTAATAGTTTTTTTCAAGGTAGCTAGATATTAAGATATCCATCACCAACTATACAATTGACATTCAGCTCATAATTTACTTGTTTTTGGGATATTATTATAGCGTTTTGTGGCCGAAGTAGCGTTTTGTGTACAACAAATTCACAATTCTACGTAATTAATAATAAAGGGTACTCGATCGTGAGCTGATATATGATCATTTGTTGTACTGACACTAAACTAATATACAACTGCTTCATATTGTTTGCATTAAAGAATATGTGTTGCGACCGATTGGATGAAGAGTTTCTCATTCTTCATTTGTGTTTATGTGTAAGCACTTAACCATACTCAATTTCATTACTGTATATAAAGATTATAAACTACTCCATATTTGACCACAGCCCTCTAACATTGGTGTTCAATGTATCCTCTTTGACTAGAAGGAGAGCAGCCTGCTCTTTTGCAGTTTGCACTGCCCAAGACCCTCTCCAATCAACAAGCCATGCATGTTATGGCTTTAGTGTAGCTGTGTAGGTTGGGCACTTGGGCTTACACTGTCTTAAAAAAGTAGCCTAATAATTCAATCAATTCCCTAGAAGAAGCTAAGGGAGCTCTAAACTTTCAGGAGAAAATATGGGCAGCAGTACTAGTTCAAAGATGTCCCAGGCATTGCCCAAGTCAAGTTTGGTTTCAATTAGTATTGCCCCAACAGTACTTTCAACAATGTCTCCCAGTTTTTGTTAAGTAGTCATACGCAAATAAGCAAGTCTAGATCAAAATACACTAAAGATCCATTTTAAACGCGTAAATACGGAGTAAATAGTTGTATTGACTATTGAGTATCAAGTTGTTGTAGCATTTGTGAGTTGGATTAGGGGTTTCTTAAAATCAAATGAGTGTATGTGTTAATATTTTTTATTTATGCTAGCTAGATATTAAGATATCCATCACTACAATTGACATTCATGTCATAGTTTACTTGTTTTGGGGATATTATAGCATTTTGTGACCGAGTCCCAAAATGAAAAAAAAAAATTGTCTTGTTTCAGTCCTAGACCACACAAGAACATATTAAACCAGAAAATTTACCAGATCAGACCAAAAAATTAAAAACATCATAATTCATAACAAATTTAAAAGTCAATGAAAAAGTCATTGCTCAACTGAGTTTTAGGGTTGTTGTACAATGGTGGATCGTTTGGGGGTTGATATCACTCGAGTTAAGTAAATGTCAAACAAGTTCTAACTCGAGTCAAACAAGTTCTAACTCGAGTCCAACAATTGATTTTTTTATCTAACTATTAAGTAAATCAAGACCAATTTATAATCCACGTTTATGTGATAATTTTATGAAAATTCATTTTGTACCCGCCAAATTTTACATGCCAGTCCAATTGTCTGTGACAATTTGACCGGCTACACATACAATTTGACTTGTGTTTTATGAAGAAAATTGATTTTCACACAGACAAAAATACAAAAAAAATGTATGTATCTCACACTTTATGAACAATTCCAATCTAAAATGTCTGTGATACATACAACTCTTTACTTTTGTCTATGTGAAAATCGATTTTCTTCATAAAACGCCGGTCAAGTTGTCTGTGTAGCCGATCAAATTGTCTGTACACAGACAATTTGACCGACATGTAACTCGACGTGTACACGAAGCGGGACTCATGATTTTATTGCATTTTCGGTAATGGTAGCATTCGTGGACTGAATTATTGGTTTCTAGCACCGAAGTGAAATACATGTAAAATAGTTTGTTAAACATCAGTTCTCAACCAATTTTAAAATTTACGTTCATATCAGGGGCGGATCCAGAATTTAATGTTAGGCTGGGCTGAAAATTTTAATTGATAATACATTGATTTTTTTTTCAAAATAAGCGAAAAATCAAATATAAAAGGTATCCCCTAAATTTGTTCTAGACAAGGCTTTGAAACAAAAAACTCATCAACAATAGAGTCTACATCTATACTGAGAGTAATATCTTTTTCAATGTAAAGTGTCATGCAATCAGCAAGAAAACTATCATCCATTTTATTGCAGAGTGTTGCCTTTAGAAGTTTCACGACAGAAACTGATCATTCTATCTACTGTTGCAGTAGAAACAATAAGACCAATACGAAGTGAATCAATCTAGTCATCTTAACATATGAATCACACCTTTTGCTTTTAGTTAATTCCTCACATAATTTAACAAGTGTAGATACTTGAAACTTGATATCATGAATCATATCATGAACATAGTGTTGCAGCTCGAATTTCAAAGCACGAATGTCCTGACTACTAAACTCTTCGGGATAAAACTTCCTTACAAGAGTACAAATAGCATGGACATTGAACGACTCATATGAATTTTTTGGATCAAATGAAACACTCAAAGAAAGGAGTTCCACTAATTTATCATTAAACCGGGTCGTTAACTCCATGAATAAAAGTATATTACCTCATTGAAAACATCAAAGTAATAATGATTCTCAATTGTAGTTTCTTTTCAGCAATGACCAACCATATATTTAGAAATTAGAATTAGTCTGGTGCATATATGAATTTATTTTTTGAGAAAAACTCATTCACTTCTTCAAGAAAACATTTCCATCTATGAGTTTTGCTAGGTGTGCACAAAATGTGTACACAAAATGTGTACACATGTCGGTCCTTCATAGAAATTTTGTCCCAAGCATGAAAAATGTCTATATACACTACAAACTAAAGTAAATCGAACACAAATTCAAAACATGAAAAATGTCTATATACACTACAAACTTTTGCCCAAGAACTCACTTTTGGACAATTAATGTTGTTGAAGATACTCAAACACTTTACAAGTTCATGTGAACATGTTAATCAAGTTCTTAATTGAATCATATTTTATTGTATTTATTACATTGATGCTTTGTGGGCTTTATGGCCATTATACGTATAAATTAAGTGCCACTTATTAAGTGGGAGGTGATGTGTATAACATTTATATTAGATTTTTATATGGTAAGATTTTGTTTTATAGACTAGGCTGAAAAATTGGACTGGGCTATACAAAAACCCGGGGTGGGCTAGATGGAATTATGTCAAAATAATACCTTAAAAAAATATTTTTTTTTGCTTTGCCCTGGGCTTCAGCCCACCATAGCCCTAACATAGATCCTCCCCTGGTTCATATGATATAGAGGCGTTTGACAACACTTTTTTTCGGTTTACCAGTCAATTTTTTCACCAAACGCGTAATTTTTATTTTTGCGCGTTGAATTGTGTAATACGCAGAAAAAGTAAGGTTGAAGTTACTTTTCTGACTGTATTGACCGAAGTTGCTGTAGATTACAATTTTAGCTATTTTTACATGTATTTTTAAAAATCAGCAGAATCAGCCACTTCAGCCAGATTTTCATAAATTTTAGTAGAATCAACCAAAACAGTCGATTTTTGTGTTACCAAATGGGCTCATAATGTTGGTGCATTTGGGAATTTGGGCCATTGCATCATTTGTGTGTCAATTAAGGAACTTCTATAACCTGAGTCAAATAAATTTCAAACGATGATTGTTTTTTTTAGTTTCTATTCACAATAACCATTTTGCTAAACACAGCCACCGTTTTGCTAAACACAGCCAATTTTTTTCATAATTCCTGTTATGTCCTTAATAATACCCAAAGTAATACAACCTCCGCGAATCACGTTTGTGTAGTCTATCTATTGCAAAGGGGAAATAACGAATTCGTCATACAGAGGATTCGTCAATCAATAACAAGTCACTGCCGGATTCCATAGCTTTGACGTGTCGTCCATAACGTGGTAAATTATATAGTACAGCCGGCTGTACCATGAGCATGGTACAACCGACATTTTTGTAATTAGTTCCAGTTTAGAGGATAATTGTTAAGTTCATTTTTGTTCTTGCCCTTTCATTTTTTCCGCCGCATCGTTGCAGGACTCCTGCGCCTGCAATTGCTTTCAGCTTTTTTCTTTTGTTTTTTGCTCTCTTCGTTTCCTTGCTTTTCTGCTCTTCACCTTCTTTTGTCTTTTCTTTTCTTCTTTTCTTTCTTTTACTTGCTTCCTTTCTTTTTTTCTTTAACAATTTTTTACTTTAATTTTTATTAATTATAAAATATTTTTGATGTTAATCTTACGTTTTTCTATTTTTTATTCTAAGACAAATATTTATTAGTTTATTAAATTGTGTGTGATATTACAAATATGAGTTTTGTGTTATACTAAAATGAGTATATTGTAAAATAAACGTGCACGAGTAAATATTATAAAAACAACACGATTATATTTTTAATTCAAGAACAAAAGACTATAAATTATTTTTAATAAAACATTTTAATATTTCACATTGTTATATATAATTATAGTTTATTTAATTGTGAACAATGAATCTAATAGATGTTCATATTATAAAAAAGAAGTTTATGTATATCCGAATGAGTATAACGATTACAAAAAAATGGGCATACACAAATAAATATTTGAACACATTAGAAAATTCAAAAGAACTTTTGAACTTTTTTTATGCTCATTTTGTAAGTTACGTATATTTATTTGGTATTGGTTAAATGCTCATTTTAGAATTTCGTATTAATGCATAATTCAAAACTATCATATTATAGTAGATTCACATGAAAGTTGATTATAGACACGAGAGTAGACATCATGATACTCAATAACATGTTTATATTACTCAATAGAGGAGGTTTGGTGCTCAATGAATATGTCTTGATTCTTAACTAACAAAACTTATTATTTTCATATCAATGCTCATTTTATTAGTTACATATGCTCAATTGATACTCATGTTACACTCATTTTTTAAATTGTCATATCAATGCATATTTCAAAAGCATCATATTACATTATATTCGCACGTTGAAATTAATAGGAGTTGATTATAGATATAATTTAATGAGATTTTATAAAAGAAAAAGTAAGAAAACGAAAGCGAATTACAATATATAAAGTTGATATCACAATAGTCATTATTCGACTCTTAATGCTCAGTAGAATATGTTTGATGCTCATTAAAAGTGTACTAATGCTCATCTAAACAAAAACCACAAATTTCACTGAAATTATGAAAATGCCACCGTTTTTTAGTTGTGATATCAGCTTTCTTGGAATGACACGGTGCTCATTGTTAGACTCTTAATGCTCATTAAAATTGAACAATTGCTCATTAACTAGTACACTAATGCTCATTTAGAAGAAACCGCGATTTCACATTAATTACAAAAATGCCACCGGCTGTACTGTGCTCACCGTACAGCCGGCTGTACGGTGGACGGACTCCCATAACGTCATTAAAATATCTGGCAATCATTCTTCTCCTTGAGTATAGACTAGAGAATGACAGAATTTTTAGATCTATTTTTTTACATTCTGCCACGTTGGTGTCCTATCACTAGAGCAAGGATCATCTTGTTTCAGATTCCAATAGTTTAAGAAACATCGGTTTCAACTTTCAAATTCACCTCCCCTATCTTTCAGATTCACATTAGTTTCAAATAGGTTAAAAAAATTAAGAGGAAACAGTTCCAAACATCGAAATCACAAAAACTAATGGCCTAAAATTTGAGTGTTTGAAATCGAATGAGTTTTAGAGCTTTGAGAGTGTCACCCATGGCGACGTTGGACCTATTCGCCGGAATTTTATTCTTGTTACATAAAGACTGGATCTACCAACTGAAAAAAGATGACCACAAATTTGTCCGCACACCGGAGATAGGAAAAACCTTTGGCCGCACGTCGTTGCAATACACATACGTGATTTGCCTAAGCAGAGCTGTATGAAGGGCATAATAGGAACTATCAAATTATGTGGCTGTATTTAGTAAAAAGATGGTTGTGAATAAAATTTTCCGTTTTTTTTCATCTAATTAATTTGAAATTCATGACCAACTTTAAAATTCACCTTCAAGTGATAGTCCAATCGAATTTCGGGCAATTGTTGCGTTTGTGGGCTAATTTATGGATCAATCACTGAAGTGCATAAAATGTAAAAGGAAGCATAATAATCATCTTTCTTCTAAATATTAATTAATCCAAAATCTATTGTACAATCCACGTTTATGTAATAACCCAATCAAACTTATGGAGTTAGGGTCATTGCAGCGTTTGTGGGTCGAACTGGGAGTCCCGATCACCAGTGTATAAAAAATGTCAAGCAGACTAGTTAATGATCATTTTCGTGTAAATATTATGACCAATTTTATAAAATTCACGTTTGTTTGATAGTCCAATAGAATTCCGATTCTTTGTAGCGTTTGCAGGTCGAATGAGAGTTTTTATCACCTTAATTCGAATGAAAATTTTATTCACAAAGCCCAATTTACTATTTACAATCACAAAAGTAAATCAAATAAACTCAAATATCCATAATACCCCTATTATTCATATATCAAGCAAGATACTCCTGATCATTCATTGTTAGACTAATCGGAATCCACTCCAGTCAATAAATCAAATTTTTCATTAATTCAAGTGTATTCACTCAGTCAATTTAATATTTACAAAATAATTTAGAATTAATACTTGTTTTTGTCTAACATGCGGCCAACACTCCATCATCATTACATTCTTCTCCTCGATCTGCTTTGAGCCTGTGAATAGCATAGCAAATTCCCCACCAAGGGTGCCCATAATGCACTTTGTCACTCTTGTGCACAAGGGACTTTAACAACACTTGCCAAAGATAATGAAATGCATCTTCTATTCTTCTATGCCGCTACATCCTCCCAACTCAGGGTGAGCATTAGAAGAAAAAAAGTGTTTGGCTATGCATTTTTCATACTTCATGTTCTTTATTTAATTTACCAAAAACATCTAACACCTACCAATTTAAGACACGTTTACTTCACGAGTTACTAAATGATGCTTATTAAGATCACGTTAATAAGCGGTGCATAAAATAAGCAGTAGTGTAAGGTCATGTTTACTTCAAAGGATTTAAGCAACGAAGTAAACGTCTCATAACGGTTTTTGAATCCAAATTACGAATCGAATCAAAACTATTCACTTTGTTACAACACTTAAGCTCTCAATGATACTTTTGATTTATTATTAATGGGCTTGAATTGGAACGTGTATACGTAAATAAATGTAGGAGTGGGCATAATGGTTTGGTTTAACCGAATCGAACTGTACCAAACCGAACTAAACTGAACCGAAACCGGACCGTATGCAATTTGATTTGAGTTTGGTAATATTTCTTCCGAACCGTATTAAATCGAACCGAAACTGATAAAAACCGAACAAAACCGAACCAAACTAAAGAAATTCAAAAAAAACTTCATATATTTATAAAAATCAACAAGTCCAAACCGAACCAAATCAAATTAAACTGAATCGAACCAAACCGAAAAAATAGTACGATAGTATGATTTTTGTTTGATAGTAATTCTTCCAACCAGTTCCAAACCGAACCGAAGCAAAACCGATAGAAACCGAACCAAAAATCGATATGCCCTGCCGGCCTGCCCTACGTAAATGTATGGCTACACTTTAACCGTTTAACTAGTTTTCAAAAGTTATTGTAGTGTTATTAATATTATTATGCTATTATAATTATTAATAAATATCTAATATATTTGATTAACATTAAAATCGAATATGCTGATATTCTTATTTGTAAATTGTAATTGATAACAATTCAAATCAAATTTAATATTCTTATGTGTATTGAAATTTTACAAATTCGAATAGTCTTACATGAATTAGAATCTCAAACTGAGTATAAATTATTCAATTCGTATACAAGCTTAGTGTACACTAATGTGTAATCTGATGTGTACAAATCACAAAATTATAAAATCTTTATAAAGTGTTGAAGACCCTCATATTTTACTTAGTAATCCCTCCTACCAAGATGGTCATCTTTCATTTTCTGTCTATATCACTAATATTGTTCCATAATTGAATATCGATCACATAAATCTAATTTTTTTAATAAAGATATCATACCATACCATGTTACTGGAATCAAAGTACTAGTAGATTTTAGCCTAAAGAGTCAAATAGGTTCTTGAACTAACTTAAAATGTTCAATTAGTCCCTTATATAGGGGGTTCAGCCCGGCCATCGCCAATTGGGGAGGTTCCAGGTGGAATTTTTTGATGAAATTTTTTGAACATCTTCTTCATTAAATATAGTTTACCCAAACCAAATTTCAGCTAAAAATTCAACCGGAAAGGCAGTCAAATGAGTTTTTGAAGATAACTGCGCAGTTAAACAGCGCAATACATTTCGGAAAATCATTTGACTGCCTTCCCGATTTAAGTTTTAGCTAAAATTCGACATGGGTAAACTAGACTTAATGAAGAAGATTCTCAAAAAATTTCATCAAAAAATTCCACATGGAACCTCCCCAATTAGCGATAGCCGAACTGAACCTCCTATATAAGGTGATAATTGAACACTTTAAGTTAGTTCAAGGACCTATTTGAGCTAGTCTAGATTTTATTAGAATCCACAATAATCTTCCAAGTTGAGGAATTCAAAATCCATATTGCGAGAGTAATCACCCTATCACAAATTCCGACCAATGCCCCCTTTCCTTCAATATTTTGCAGTTTCACAACTTCCATGGAAGTGTGCGCAGGAGCTCGACGCCTACCATTTCCGCCTGAGAAACGTGACGTTGAAAAAATAAAGCAAAAGCTCCTCCAAAGCGGCGTTGAACCAACTCCCAAAATCATACACAATATCTGCAAAAAACGCCTCCAGAAAGTCAACCGTCGGCAGGCCAAACAGGCCGCTAAGGAACCACGGCCTCTTACTGACGCCCAGAAAGAAACCCTGGCTGAAGAGTTTCACTTCCAAGCCATAAAATCCGAGTACAAAAGCTTCGAAAGAACTGTAAATGCGAAAAATGAGGGGAAACTCATAGGACGGCCGTGGGACAGACTTCACAAGCTTCAAATGCAAGAACTTTCAAGTGAAAATATGCAGTATTCTGGTGACAAGTTAAGCGCTCAGCCTTTGAGGGAGCTTCGTGACATACTCGAGTGCGAAAGGGAGAAGTACAGGTGGATTCTGGATGACGATGTCCAGATTGAAGATGGGTTGTCTGGTAATAAGAGCTCAAATTGGGAACCACCAAAGCTCAGAGGGGGCGAATCTGGGGCAATACGGTTTGTCATTGACAAGTATGTATACATATATAAGGTTTCCAATGTTTCCAAAAATTAGGCATGATAAGTAAATTTTGTCATACAGAGTTTTTGGTTCCCTATAGATGTTAATTGCTTTCTGTATGTGTTGTAGATTGAGTGGTACAAAAATAGTTGCCAAGAACTATAAGTTTGTGCGGGTTATGAAACACTCGGGGTTGCAGTTTACAGAACGTCAAATGCTAAGGTTAGTGGAAGGTCTTGGGGATAGAGGAGAGTGGAGGCATGCATTGTCTGTTGTTGAATGGGTTTATAACTTGAAGGAGCATAAATATTGCAGAAGCAGGTACTACTTGTATTGATTTCTGTTTGGTGCTAGACCAAATTTACTGTTCTAGCATTTAAAAATAAAAAATAAACATATTTGTTTACTTAGGTTTGTTTATACAAAGCTCTTGGCAGTTCTTGGAAAATCTATGAGGCCTCATGAAGCTCTTGAAGTGTTCAACTTGATGAGAGTAATTACCAAACTATGGTGCTTATGGTCTCTCTGAATTAAGTGCGACTCTTTAGATAATATGACAAATGATGATAAAATCAAAGGATTTTCTGCATGCAGGGGGATGCCAGAATATACCCAGACATGGCTGCCTACCATAGTTTGTGTGTTATACTTGGCCAAGCTGGTCTTCTAAAAGAGTTGATCAGAATTATTGACTGCATGAAGGAAAAACCCAAGAAAATTCAAAATATGAGACACAAAGATTGGGACCCTGCCATTCTACCAGACGTTGTCATATATAATGCTGTAGGTGACCAAATTCTATCATGCCAGTACTCTGATATAAACTCTGCAATGTACTTATTGGTGTGATTGCCTTTATCAATTTGGCTGGCTAGGTTTTAAACGCTTGTGTTCCATCTCGCCAATGGAGAGGAGTACATTGGGTCTTTCAGCAGCTAAGGAAGAATGCCTTGAAACCCAATGGTGCAACCTATGGACTTGCGATGGAGGTAATTATTGACCTAGTTGTATACAGTTACTGTGAGATATGGTTTTCTAAAAATATAAGTTTATATATGTATATGTGTATATATATATATATATTTATTCGTTTATATTTATATTTTGAAATAAACTGCAGATTATAGCAGGGCCACTTAATTTGTCGTGAAATCTAAATCCACATAATAAAACATGTTTTACTGCATCATCATCATTGGCTGTATTCCAACTATATATATATATATATACACACACACACACACACACACACACACATATATATATATATATACATATATATATATATATGGGTGAGGTTCAAGTAAGAAGTAGCCTTTAGGTGAGAAATGAGAATGAATCTCAGCCGTTGGATTCGACTATCTTGCAGTAAAAAACACTTTATATTGCATTAAAATATGCAACCTAGTTTGGTAGCATTTTCTGAAAAATCCGTATTACAGCCATCTAGTGCAACATGAAAATGTTTCAGTGCAACGTCTTCAAATTTTAGTGCAATATGAAATAGTTTTAATGCAACACTGCAAAAATTTAAATCTTACTGTAACATCAAGCTAGCAAAATCGGAAATCCAACGGTTGAGATTCTTTCTCATTTCTCACATTAGATGCATTTCTCACTTGAACCAAAATCATATACACACACATACACACACACACACACTAGTGTCAATAAGTAGGCCAAAGTTAGTTTACAACTTGACACTATCAATTCATGCAAAAAAGCACAGTGATGATGTTTTTTGCAATATGTCCTTGCTATCCAAATGATCTTACAAACAGTCGGATGAAATTCAATAATCTTTATCATGGATTTTTTTTCGACATGCTTGGAATTTGGAAAACATCACATGACAGCCATCGTATAACATATTACGATAAAGCATTTGAGAGCCATTTTTTGAATTTCTTTTTTCTCCTCATAGTATCATTTCAATCTCTCATGGCTTTTGTATATTTTTATTCATATTAAGCACTCAAAAGGTACAGGATAAATATAAAAAATTGCAGGGTTGGGTTGTCCACCAAAAGAATGTTCTGCATTTATATCCAAGGCACTTCAGTTATATCATCAAGCTGCATTTGCATTGTAAGGTGATATTTTCAACATTAAGGCAAATTTTTGTTGAAAGGTGATGTTGAGATCTAGGAAGTATGACCTTGTGCATGAATTCTTTGAGAAAATGAAAGCAAGTGGGGTTGCTGTCAAGGCAATTACATACAAAGGTATTATATATCCGTAAACATGTTACAATGCTATAAGCTTTTGCGTTGTAGCTCAGCATTTACTTTCTTAAATTTAGTTCTTGTCAAAGCCTTCTGGGAAGAAGGCAAGGCAAATGAAGCCATTCATGCTGTTAGGGAGATGGAACAAAGGGGAGTTATTGGAACTCCTTGTGTGTATTATGAACTAGCTTGCTGCCTTTGCTATCACGGAAAGCTGGAAGGTGCCTTTTTCGAGGTAAGTTTGAAAGTTTGTTCCAAGTTACCAGTGACCAATTGTTTGTATGAATCCTTTGACTCAACAAAGTGGTTGTATGACCTCCTTGCTTATAATCTACAGTAAAATAATTTGGTTGATATCTGAGGTCACAGAATTAGTGTACAATTGATATATGAGTTTACACAATTTTTATACATTAAACTAAGTCATTGATTTAGATTTTAGTGGACCTTGTAGCTTGAAATTGACACTTTTAAAACCATATTGGTTACATGAATTCGGTTTTTTATTTTCCAACTAATTCTGAAATTTTAACATTATGTTGATAATTTTTTAAATTTATTCTTTATTTGTGTTGATAGGAATTTTACCCTTTAGTTTCTAAATTTTTATAGAGTTGTGTGAAGCAACTATCTCCCACTGGAGTGGTTGATTCCTAAGCCTTTGTTTTCCATCTACATGCCATGGAAAATTGGTGACAAACTTACAAACTATGATTCTTTGAAACATTTCTACAGATTAAAAAACTAAGAAGCCTTGGTTGGACTAGACCTTTGGCAGTTACCTTCACTGGGATGATATTGTCTTCAATGGACGGTGGACATATTGACAATTGCATAACCATATATGAGCACTCCAAAAAACACTGCAAAATGGACACTGGAATCATAAATGCCATGCTGAAAGTGTATGGTCGTAATGATATGTTTCTTGAAGCCAAGGAATTATATGAGTTGACAAAGAAAGTAGACACCGGTTCTCAAATTAGTATTAGTCCAGATATATACACTTTCAGTTCCATGCTTGAGGCATCTGCTCATTCTCTCCAATGGGAATATTTTGAGAATGTCTACAAGGAGATGACCCTTGTTGGACATCAGCTTGATACAAAAAAACATGCACACCTGCTGGTGGATGCATCAAAAGCTGGGAAGGTACAATTACTTTAGCATGCATCCTTGCTCTTAACAAGGGGCGAAGAAAAAAAGTTACAAATTAAAACCGACCAAAAATTAACCAACCAAAACTGATAAAGACTGACCAGACCACATGCAGTTTGTTTAGGGGTTAAGGTTTGACCGTAACATACTAACATGCTTAAACCAACTGAATCCTACATCAACCAACTGAAATTGACCCAAACCGACTTTACAACTTGAGTTGTGGTTCAGTTAACCGTTTTGCATTTCCCAAAACCGAAACAACCAAAATGAGAACCAACTGAAACCATCTTAAGTTGCTCGTTTCGGTTTTCAGTTTTGCATTTCCCAAAACTAAACCAACCAATCCGAAGACGAACCAGTGAACACCCTTGCATTTGACAAAAGTTGAAACAGCTACACAACTAAATTTGTTAGAATGCCTTATATCATCGAAACTAAAAAGAAAAACAACACAATATAGATACATGGTTTATCGCTAAGAGCCTTGAGATATTTATTACACTTCTTATTTTTCAGTAACTGTTGATGATTAGGGTGAGATCTGCTGCCTGTGTTGCACACTTGCACCCTTCTAACATACATTCTTGATCCAGGGACATTTACTTGTTCATGCATTTGACACAATTTTAGAAGCTGGTAAGGTGCCTCCTCTGTCATTTTTCACTGAGATCTTATGCAGTGCAATCTCGCAGCATAATCATGAAAGAGCTGTCAGCATGGTCAACATGCTTGCTGTTGCACCTTACCAAATCACTGAACATGAGTGGATTGAGTTTTTCGAAGGCAACCAGGACCGGGTAAAGAATGCTCATTTCCAAGAATTGTTGGAAATGCTCTGCACAGAGGGCTTGAGAAGTGAAGCTACCATCGTAAATTTGTCTAGAGCATTACAATCTCTCTTGGGGGATAGTGGCTCAAACAACTTGAATTCTGGGGGTGGTAATGATCTAAAATCTGGCAAGGGGGGAGGTGTTACAGATTTGATATTCAAAGATTATTTTGATGAGTTTGAGGAACTAAATTTGGAAACAGTGACCACTGAGGAAGAAGATTCACATGAATCGGGGATGCCATCAACATATGAGATATTGCAGTCATGGAAAGAAATGGAGGAAACACGGTAGCATTTTCCTCCTAGTTCATATAAGCTACCAGTGAACTTACCCCTTTCCCTAATGATGCAACAAGATAAAGAAAGTTCAAGGTTTTGGTCTAATGTCAGCAAATTTCCCTGCAACCCTCTGGCCAGATTCCATTTTTTACACCATACTAAATCATGCTTCTTGTGTGGCTAGCGAGGTGCAATACCAGAAACTTTAATGCATCATTGACAAGCTTTTCGACCTCATGAAACTTGAACGACTGGATTACATCTGCCTACGTAATTGCAGTATCCGCCTACGATTCCTCGCGCTCATCATCTTCCTGACATGCGGCCACTAAAATCCACGTGTCTAGTAGCTCTGCAGGCATGTTTTTCTTAATGTATTTGTTATTTTAATTATTTTCGAAAAGATGGCAGGATTTGTCTTATGCACGTTTTTCTTAATGTTTTTGTTTATTTTAAATATTTTCGAAAAGATGGGGAGAATTTGTCTTCAAGCAAAGCTTGTTTTTCTTTCTATATTTAAATAATCAGAAGCTCATCATTAGTTTTTGAAATTTTCACCGGTCTATTCTGTTATATATGGTGCTGGGATAGTGGGATATGAATTTACCGAGGTCAGCACTGCTTGAGCTGAGAGATGGAATTATTGGTGAAGGGCTTGCTTGAGATTGAATAAATTCGGGATATATTTTTATTTATTACTTCGCTGCAAAGCATGAGGCTACCCTTGTGTTCAACGGGCATCCAAAACCTCTCACAACTTCAATTAGATGTCACCATCTGGGCAGAAGTGGCCACCGCCACAGGTACTACGTGTTGCCACCGACATCTATCACTATCAGTCATTGGCTACTACCAGTGACATTGCATGTTCTCTCCACGGTTAGCCGCCACCAACACCATTGTTGGTCGCCACAACCTTTGACGGTCACCATTGGACATCAAGGAAAAATATGTAACTTGCTTCATAAGTTGTGATTTAATGTTTGTGAAGTAAATTCATCATTGTCATTGCAATGTTAACTGTGTAATTCTAAAAAAAACAATTACTTATGAGACTTAATAGGTATCACTAAAAAACTTGTGTGGTAATCATGTCCTGTGCCGCCGCCCGCCCTACACAACATGTATTAGAGATTTAATAGTAAAAGGAATCCAAAAGCTGCTTATACTAATACTAACTAGTTAAAATATGACCAGAATGCAACATAGAACTAGCACTAGCAACAACAATACCGATATCTTCAAACGTATAACAATTCAGTTTCGTGTGGTAATTCTCTGACAAAATATACCGATTCAGCAGCCCAAATGTGTTGTGGGACATGAAAGGGTTGAAGCAAGATACTAGTTTACAAATTTAACCACTTATTATGCTACTGGTATGTTTGACATTTGATGAAGTTAGCGACCACAAATTTATAACCTTATTAATTTAGTCTTTGGGGGATGTTGTTATGGAGTGTTTGTTATAGCTTTTACTTTAAAAATATTTTTAAAGTAATTTTAGAGAAATTTATAATAGTAAAACTAAAACGTAGTGATATTTGAGAAAAAAATGATTTTCGAAAAGTAAACACAATTTAAAACAGGGAAAAGGTGCAAATAGGCCCATGTACTAACCAAAAAAGGTCAAATAAGCCCTTATTTAGGAGGCTCTGTCCGGCCGTCGTCATTTGGGGTAGTTCCTGGTTGAATTTTTTTATGAATTTTTTTGAGCATCTTATTCATTAAGTCTAGTTTACTCATACCAAATTTCAGCTAAAACTTCAATCGGGAAGGCATTCAAATGAATTGTTGAAAATAAATGCGCAGTTAGAAGCACAGTTATCTTCAAGAATTCATTTGAATGCCTTCCCGATTGAAGTTTTAGCTGAAATTTGGTATGAGTAAACTAGACTTGATGAATAAGATGCTCAAAAAAATTCATCAAAAAATTCAACCGGGAACCACCCCAAATGACGACGGCCGGACAGAGTCTCCCAAATAAGGGCTTATTTGACCTTTTTTGGTTAGTACATGGGCCTATTTGCACCTTTTCCCTTTAAAACATTCAGCCATGCACTTCAAGCTTTTAGCTTTAAAGCTTAATTTAAGCGTAAAATTGTTTTTACTTGGACAGTTTTCAGCCCCAGACCAGACCAGTTCCAAATCAGACTTGGATAGTCATTAAAATATACAGAGACCAGACATTACCAAACCAGATCAGTTCAGAACAGATCAAACCAACAAATTTCAGTCCAGGTAAAAACATCCTAACCTCTCATTTGAAAACATTAATTTCATACTCGTATTTTTTTAAGCAAAAATTGATTCTTTTTACAAACACTCGTCAAGTCCTGGCAAGATAAAGAAAAAATAGACAAAGCATATGTCTATGGGGGTAGCTAATGTATTCCCATTTCCCAAAACCTTAATACGTAGTAATTTAACTTGGAGAAAAGTGTATTGGTAATAATAAGCTTTTTCTCTTCTTTGCATACTTGAAAGAGGTTTGACGGCTCAACTTTCTCTCAACAAAAGTGCCACAACTAAGTTCGACTAGTTACCCTCGTCAATGCACGTTGGTGAGTTTTCAAAAGGCAAACTCAAGAAACCTTACAACTTGATTTCCAATGGGATAGTATAACCAATAAACTTGTACTCCCTAATGATTTTCATAGGGAAAATCGCAATTTTTTCTATATTATTAGTTATAAAGAGATCAACCATCAACCTAGAAAGACTTGGGGCGTATATGATTTAGTGATTTACTATTGATTAAGTTTATACTACCATTTGTACCTCTAGGCTCTAGCCAGTAAATATGGATAACAAGTCCAACTAGCAGTAAATAACCAATCAATTCAAATAAGTCATGCTCCAATAAAAAGCGGTCTTCCCACGAGAAATGCGAACGTCTCCACTTTTGATCGTCTGAAGCGCAATATTGTACCTAAATAATTTTCGTCGTTCACTTTTGATCACCCACAGACCACAATACACTTTTACACATAGGAAGACTACTTTTTGCAAAGAAGTAAAACTTCGATTTATTTACAAAAATGTCACCGGATTTTTGATTCATTTTAAAGCATATTTGACATATTTAGAGCCATTAGATCTTATGTTTGATGTACCTGACTTATTCCTACTTTTCATGAGAAGAAGACTTTTTATTTGATCCTACATCCAATTCAAACAACTAGTTAATTATTATGCTCCCAAATAGTGTGCAAGTAGGGATGTTTAAAATATAATGACCACTTAATTAAGAGCAAATATGGGCGAGGTACTAAGTAGCGATTATATTATTTATTTACATCGGATGTGAGTATATTTGAATCCCAAAGGGTTATTCTAATATTCTAGACCTGAATTTTAATTTATTCAAAATTTAAAACTAGTTTAAACTTGGATACAATAATAGAAAGAAAATTTATATACTTATACGTACAAATTATATGCACACCTCGCAATATATACTCCGTATATCTATATTGAAGTTTTTTGTTGTTAAACTTTAAATATTCGGTAATTTGCTTTTTGTGATCCTTTTTTTTTTCAAATCTAAAATTATAACCATTTTAATGCTAAATATCCGAATAATCTTCTGTGGTCCGTGGATGCATTAATAGTGGAACCAATCCAAACATTTCCAATACATTGTTATTACATTGTACATGTTTAAAACGTATACAATGTGTTTATTACATTGTCATCACAATTTTTTTAAAACCGATCTTTGTACTTTGTAGTAGCATATACTTCGTATTTATTTTTCTTATTCTGATGACTTTTTGGTACCAATATAATACTTCGTATTAATTTATTATTGTGATCAGTTTTCTTTCATGATTTGCTAATTAAAGACATTCCCGATTTCACGTACAAACAAAATGTACTTATAGTTCAAGTGAATTATTTGATTTACTTCTTTTCATTAGAAGTATTCATGTATAAACTATAAAGTTTTAAGATACAAAAGAAAAAAAATAGAGCATGAATAACAATTCTAAAAAATAATTGATTTTCAGTTGATTGTCACACAAAAAATAATATTTTTAGCAGTTTTTAGTAGTTTCTCACAATTGCACTTTTTGAGTTATTCTTTTATCATTTCCTCGATACATTTCTATACATATAAATCGGCGTGGCATTACTAATTTTCATGTGGTGGGATATAGTGATATACATATAACTGATATAAGGTGTTCACATTTGTGTGTATTCATATGTGGCATGCACATACATAAATTCTCCATTCTACTTTGAGTATAACTCAAATATTAGAAGTACTATTTTTTAAAAAATTGATGAATTTTTTAAAAAGGAAGTCCATTTCATTAGAAAGTATTCATGTATACACTTTAAATTAAAAAAAAGTTAGAGTTTTAACAACAATTCTAAAAATTATACGTAGTGCATTTTTCAGATATGCATGTCACACAAAAAATAATGTTTATACTCCGTAACAAATTTTTTAGTAGTGACTAAGGTTGAGTTCTCTTATTACATCAGATACCTTCCAAAACACAATTGAAGCTGAAGAGGTGTCAACGCTGTTTCCGCTTATCAGGTTTATCAGCCAACTTTTTTATCAAGCACGTAACTTTTGTTTTCGCGCGCTGAATTGTGTAATAAGCAGAAAAAGTAAGATTGGAGTTAATTTTCTGGCTGTATTGGCTGAAATTAGTGTAGATAACCATTTTAACTATTTTTACATATAAAATTTTCTTTATTTTATTAATAAAATATATTTTGAAAATAATTTTTTCTTAAATCAGCAGAATCAGCCAATGCAGTCACTTTAGCCAGAACTTCATAAATTTCAGCAAAATCAGCCAAAACAGCCGATTTTGATGCTACCAAACGGGCTCTAAGTGAACTAAAGATACGGAATATGTTTTTCTTTAGTAAAGATGTTTTGGTTTCAATGTTTCATACTCTTAAATTTGCTTTTAAAATTAGAAACAGTATTCCTCAATTAAAAAAAATTGTGGAAACGTGCTTTGACAAATTATACTTTGTATTAAAAATTAAAAAAATGAAATGTGCGAGTGATCAGCTTTTTCACTGTGAGCTGAGACGTTGATGGGGTCAGCCGAGAACAGCTGTAACAACCCTAATCGTCGGAAAATCTGAAAACAACGCCGGAGGGACTCGACCACCGTAGACTTTACAGCTGACGGTTACTGTGGAGCTTCCCGCCCGCGCCTGACTTGGAATTGTGCCCTTGTTTGTCGCGCCGTGCTTAAAAGGTCTTCTGCATTATTAAGCACCGTAGGAGGCAAGTTCTATTGCGCATTTATTATTTCGTTGCTTAAGAGTAGATTTTTTTCCAATGGCACGAAAACGGATGAAGCCCAATGAAGCTCCGGTTAACCGAACCTTGTGTTGGCGTGAGGAAATGGAAGAGAGAACTCAAAAGCTCTCTTCAGTTTTAGATTACAGCGATCCCTATTGCATGTCTAATTTATGGCAAAGCATGGACTGTGGGAAGTACGGGAGTGTGACAAAAGAGATTGAGGAGCTTTTGTGTCAAAGCAGAAACTACATCCAGTCATGCTATGCAAGGGACCCTTCACTTGCTGATAAAATCATTGAACTGGAAAACAATTTCACCACAGAGGGTAGGGGAGGCCAAGATGGTACTGGTGTAATAGATTTGGAGGATGAGCATGGTGCTGCGAATGTTCCAATTGCTCGCTTTGTGCCTGCTGCTCAGCTTGTCCCTTCAGCTGGCCCTCTAGTTATCATTGATTCAGATGATGAAGACACCCAGACGCTTAATTTCACGTTCCAGGGAATACATAATGAGGTAAGTTTGTTAAAAATATTTTAATCTATGCAAGTTTTTCACATAAGATAGATGGTCAAAGCTAGCAATTCGTATTATATCTCATTTTACATTCTTTCGGATTACTATAAGCATATGAATAACAGTGGCTTCTTTATAAAGACTTGTGAATGCATTTACCACTTTTTCCTCAACTTTTACTTGTAGAACCCCCAATTGGAGCATGGACCTAAAGCTTTGGCAGTAAGGTCTTTTCAGAATACAGGTAACTGTTTGCTTGACATATTATTTGGTTCTGCAATTGAGGAGGAAATTGAACTAACAGTTAACTTGCACTATGCAGCTTACGTAGATGCTTCTGCTGATGCATTTAATTATGCTAAACATGTAAGTGCTCCTTTGTTGGTTTGATTTTATTCGTTTGAGATGTGTTATTCTCCTCTTTAGTAATTTTTTACACTTAATATAGCAAAGGCAGAATGATTTGTGTTATTCTTCCTCGAAATGCCTGAGTTCAAACTTACCAATGAACAAGCATGAAAGGCTCCTGTGTCTGATTTAGCTACTCCATATTTATTTACTTTGCATTATCTTGTTCAATACCATTCTCATTATTTTTGGGGCACATGTATGAACATTCCCTTCTTAATGCTACATCTATCTGATTTAGGGACTGGATTCACCTGGAACCAAGATGCTTATAGAAAGTGAAAATCCTGCTCTTCAAACTGAAAAAAGCAAGGACAAGGGCTCCTATGTTGGCGTAGAGGACGATTCAGAAACAGAGGATGGAGATGGAGATAATTGTGACGGGTTAGATGATATATGGAATGAAATGTCGTTTGCAATAGAATGCTCAAAGGTACATTAGGTTTATTTCTTATTCAACTATACCAAGAAGTCATCATTTCGCCCATGAGCTGCATTTGTTAGTTCTTGAGTAGTTTATCTCTGTATGCCTTTTCATCCATTCTTATCTATAATCTATGTAACTGTATATCACATACATCTTTTATTATTACCATTTACCTTTCTCCATATAATAATCTTGTGTGCATTGCATGTCGCAATAGCAGTGTGCACCGTCTTCTATATGTGCTCCATAAATTGATGTTTCCTAATGTCAAATAGGACATGACTGTGGATGCTTCATTAGATGGGGATGCCGATGAAAATGAAGGATGCGATCATTCCTTCATCTTAAAAGAAGATATTGGCTCTGTTTGTCGTATTTGTGGAGTCATTAAGAAAAGCATAGAGAGCATAATTGATTATCAGTACTCAAAGGTGTGATGTTCTCTTATACATATTTCCTTTACTTTTGGGACTTTGACGTGTATTTTGTTGTGATCTCTAATATATCATTCCTTCTAAAGGCTTTTTTAAAGATGGAAGCTGTATGCATCATGTTGCTTATTTTCAAAGTTGCATTTTAAAATAAAAGTGTTGTTACCTACTTAGCTTATAGGTTATCTCTACCCTACAAACTGACCTATATAGTATCCTCTTGTAGGTCTTCCATAAAATTGAGAATGTCACTGATGGGCAATTTTCTAAACTGAGCGAGTCTATAATTATTTGAATTGAATGATCAGTATGACTTTTGGTCAACTAAATGAGTAGCACTTCTACCGCTTCTCATTATCTATCGATTCGACCATTTATTGGCCCTTGACATTTTCAAATGTGCCAAATGTAGCCTAAGATATCCAAAATATCCATGTATGAAGTATGGAATATTTGGTTAAAGTTAGGGTATATCAGAAGATTCTAGGCTAAAGTCAATGCATGTGATGATTTGAGAAAGGGAATAAAAGTTATCACATTGATGATAGAAGCCAAATCTGGAAATGCCATTATAAGGATGTTAGTTCTGTATGGAACAGTTGTTCACTTTTTCTTGATAGCGCATAACTATACCCCAGTTTCTTTATGGTTTCATTTATTTCTTAAATTGATGGTTTTGTTATAAGTGCCTTGAATGATTTGGGATGAAGGCTTGATTATTTATGTTTTCTACTGCTGGCAATATTTGTTCGAAACTGTATTTAATTGTCATATTGTTGTTTTTGTTGATAAGTGCGAACTATCCTCTCTTTTTTATGTGTTTGCGCTAAACTTGCATCCTTATATTTATCCCATTTAAAACCTGAACCTGTTTCACTGCTAAAGGGCATTTTCTGTCTGTGTTTTAGACTGTAAAGAGTGCGAGAACTTGTTACTATGAAAGTCGAACAACCAAGGATTCAGGGACTAGTGAGAATTTACCCGAGGTCATCACATCATCTCATGAACTTGCAGTAGCTGATATATGTGCTCATCCAAGGCACAAAAAACAGATGAAACCCCATCAAGTTGAGGGGTTCAATTTTCTACTCAGCAATTTGGTGACTGATAACCCTGGGGGATGCATACTGGCACATGCTCCTGGATCTGGGAAGACTTTTATGATCATAAGTTTCCTGCAAAGTTTCATGGCAAGAGATTCTTCGGCTAGGCCTTTAGTGGTGCTGCCTAGAGGAATACTGTCCACATGGAAGAAAGAGTTTATTCGGTGGCAAGTGGAGGATATCCCACTCTACGATTTCTACTCCGTGAAAGCTGAAAACCGAGCTCAACAGTTGGAAGTTCTCAAACAATGGTCTGATGAAAGGAGCATTCTGTTTCTAGGGTACAAACAGTTCTCGGTAATCGTGTGTGACCATGATATAAGCGATGCTTCAAGAGCTTGTCAGCACATTTTGTTGAATCGACCGTCCATTCTCATTTTGGATGAGGGTCATACTCCGAGGAACCAAGATACTGACGTTCTGACTTCATTGGAAAAGGTGCAGACGCGTCGCAAGGTGGTGTTGTCTGGTACGCTGTATCAAAACCATGTCAAAGAGGTCTTCAACATACTTAATCTTGTTCGCCCGAAGTTTCTAAAGTTGGAAGAGTCTAAGGCTATCAAGAGGCGAATCTTGAGCAGAGCATCCATTTCCAACAAGAAAACCATAGTAAAGAAGGGCTCAGACAATGACTTCTTTGAGTTGGTGGAGCACACACTGCTGAAAGATGATAATGTTAAAAGAAAGGCCACAGTTATACAAGATCTGAGGGAGATGACAAGGAAAGTTCTTCATTACTACAAGGGAGACTTTCTGGAAGAACTCCCAGGACTCGTGGACTTCACCGTAATCCTGAAGCTTCATCAAAAGCAGAAGAGTGGACTGGGAGCATTGAAGAACTATCGCAGAAAGTTCAAAATAAGCGCGGAAGGCAGTGCATTATATGTGCACCCTCAGTTGATGACTCTCTCCAAAAACACTGTTAAAGAAAGGGTTGAGGTAGGGAAGATTGATACGATTCTTGATAATTTGGATCCACGTGAGGGAGTAAAGGCCAAGTTCTTCCTAAATCTTTTGGCGTTGTGCGAATCGCACGGAGAAAAACTTTTAGTTTTTAGCCAGTACCTATTACCTCTGAAGTTCCTGGAGAGATTGACCATAAAGGTCAAAGGCTATAGCGTTGGAAGGGAAATTTTCATGATCACTGGAGATTCAGATAATGAGGTGCGTGAATCTTCAATGGAACGGTTCAACACATCTGCAGATGCACATGTTTTCTTTGGCTCAATCAAAGCCTGTGGTGAGGGGATATCGCTTGTGGGGGCATCCCGTATCATCATATTGGATGTACACTTGAACCCTTCGGTGACCCGTCAAGCAATAGGCCGTGCATTCCGGCCCGGTCAGCTAAAGAAAGTGTACACATATAGGTTGGTGGCTTCTGGCACACCAGAGGAGGAAGACCACACGACCTGTTTCCGAAAGGAATCTATAGCAAAAATGTGGTTTGAGTGGAATCAATACTACGGCCTTGACGATTATGAGTTGGAGAAGATGGATCCAAAGCAATGCGAGGATGAGTTTCTGGAAACAGAAAGGTTTTCTGATGACATTGTTGCTCTCTACAAAAGGTAAAAGGCAAGGAATAGACCGGTTAATTTAGCAATGGATTCACATTTTTTGGGCTTTATTGTGTTGCCAGATAAGTGACAATGTGCAGTAATTTGACTGATCATAGATAGCTTGGTTTAAGTTAGGTCCTTCTAACCTTTTGTAGTCTATCGCGTATGTATTAAAGTATGAACAATCAAGTCTCAGGTTAAAATGACTACTTTTGAATGAGGGACTCAGTGCTGAACTGTTGATATCTTGAAATAGCTGATTGATTGAGCTATACAAAGAGTTTAATGATGTCTGGTTTTACCCAAAAATGGGATTCTGTGTACATACATGACATACAAATCAAGAATCAAAGAACTGAGCTCTATTAGGGTAGTGGTGGACTCGGGCCGGTTCGGGCCTGGGCCCGGCCGGGCCTCGGGCCAGGAAAGTTGGGCCCAAGCCCGAACCGCCGGTGGGCGGTTCCGGTTCCGGTTCCGGGCCAAACCGGGCCGTGCCGGGCCGGGCCTAACCAGTTCTAATTTTTTTTTTTGGCTCTTCTATTTAACCCCCAACCCCTCCCCCTCAACCCCAAACCACCCCAAACCACCTCAAATGGCCCAAAATACCCAATCCAACCCAAAACTTAAAAAAAATTCAAAAAAAAAAAAAAAATTAAAAACCGGCCCGAACCGGGCCCGAACCGGCCGGGCCGGTTCACCAAAAACTGGGCCCGAGCCCGAACCGCCCAGCAGCCGGGCCGGGCCGAACCGAACCGGTGGACCCACCGGGCCCCGGGCCGGGCCGGGCCAAACAGTAACCGGGCTGGGCCGGTTCCGGGCCGGGCCGCCCGGCCCGAGTCCACCACTATATTAGGGTACTAGCTCTGAACTGTGAAATGTGCCACTCCCGATTACAGTAAGTATCGCAAGGACATCTGTAATATGTGTGGGTATATGAATCATAATTCTTATCAACCAATGGGAAAAACAGGTTTGGGATTGAGGAAGTTGCACTCCCGGACTACCTCAGTCCCTTCGGGTGAAACTATGGGTGCACCGGGCCCGGGTCGGGCTCCAGGCCGGGCTGGGGCGGGCTACGGTCCTGAATATTCAGGCCCGGTACCAGCCCAGGTTTGTATTGGGACCGGGCCAGGTCGGGACTCAATTTTTTTTATTACATTTTTTGGTGTTTTCAAATTAATTCCCCCCAAACCGTCCAGCCCCATGCACCTAGAGGCCAGCCCAATGAGAAAAAAAATAGTAATTGGGCCCGGCCGGGCCGGTTCATCATTTAGCAAGCCCGTAGCCTGCCACATTAATGCCCCGGTTTGGGCCCCAGTCCTGGTCCAGGCCGACCAGGTCGGGCTCTGTCTAGCACAGTAAGGGCCGTGTCCTGGGTCAGGCCAAACCGGCCCAGTCCACCCCTAGGTGAAACCCCAAACTGTGGACACCTAATTGGCTAATTTTATAATAGAGCTTGAATGCTACCAACGCACCCTACAAATCAAATCATATTTGTGAATCGCCTCAGAAAAGTACCCAATGGGCCAATGATATCCTTGCAGCAAGCAGTGCATATATACCATATTTCAAGCCTAAATCTAAAAAAATTACGGAGTATGTAACAGAGTAGAGATAACCGTGCAACGAATTGAAAGCACACAAAAACATAAGAAGCGAAGCAATATGAAAAATTTTGTGTGCGGAAAAATGCCAAGGAGAAAGGTATGAGTCTATGAGACAACACTCACTTCTTTATAAACTATACTCCCTCTTTTCCACCATAAAACTTGACCAACTTGCCCCTAAAAACATGACATATTGGACTGTCACGTGAAATAAGACAGTAAAAGTTGTACTGATGATATATGTGTAGATAAAAAAAAGATACACCGTATAATGTTAATCATAAATTAATTGACAAAAAAAATTGGGCAGTTAAATAACAAAGTTGAAAGAATTAATGGCTTGTGGTGTACTCCCTCCGTCCCGCAAAATAGTTCCCAGTTTCATTTTTGGGCCGTCCCAAAAAGTGGTTCACATTTTCTTTTTTGTAAAGGTTTGTGTGACTCACATTCATTTATCTTTTTATTACTCAACCACAACCATACATTTCCACTTTATTCCCACTTTCTTAAACTCCGATCCAAGTCAATGCGGGAACTATTTTATGGGACGGAGGGAGTAGTAAATAAGAACAGTCTTTGAGTGTATAGTTGTATCTGACTTGCGATAGAGAGTTATGTTTAGTGTTCACTTGTAAAAAAAATAAGGAAAAATTGATAAGAATAATCCCACCTTTCACTGATCTTCTCATAATAATCCCAACTTTACATAATTCCAGAATAATCCCACCTTTACTTCTCCATCTTCTTTCATTGGACCCTTTTTTTGAAAATCTTATATAAATAATTCCACCTTTATATGTCATCAATAGATCAGGGTCCAATAAAAGAAGATGAGGTGCAAAGGTGGGATTATTCTTGGATTATGTAAAGGTGAGATTATTATGAAAAAACCAGTGAAAGGTAGGATTATTCTTGTCAATTTTTCCAAAAAATAATTACTTTAGGGAAGTAACAATTATTGTACATGTCAATAAGAATATTTTTACTTGGACTGTAATCTATCCCAGATCATGCCAGACCAGGCCAACCAGCAAATTACAGTCAAAGTAAAAACATCGTAAGCCTTCAATGTTTATCATTTATGTTTAAGCGGTGCATTGAGTCTAGTGTTTACCAGTCATTTGCCTTGTTGAGGCGTGCATGCATGTAATTGTTAATCTTGTTAGATAGATTACGAGATATTGGGGTACAGTTTTTGTGCTTATTTTTCCACTTATGGCGTATAGTAGTTATTTGAAAATGCCCAAAAATATATACCAATTGGAACGCTCCTTGCTATTCGGGGCGTTTCAATTATGTCCCGTAAATGTATTTGTTGCTGGACAACCAAACGCCGTGTTTGGTGGACATAGTAGCGGTTAAGACTTGGTACCATTCCGGTGTTGGACATAGGGGGTGTTTGGCAATTGGCTGTTGGCTGTTAGCTGTTAGCTGATTCTGTTGGCTGATTGATGGCAGCGGATTCTGTTGGCTGTTTTGATTAACCGGTAGTATTAGCTGTTTGTGAAGCAATGTTTGGTAAAATGATTGCTTACAATCGGCTGCTGGCTTGTTAATTAACTTTTAAGGACATCAATTAATTTTTTTTTAACTTTTTTTGTGCGATATTTTTTTGTGGTTGCTAATTTGAGACCTTAGGAGTTACACCTTGGCTTAGAAAGAACACTAATATTCAAATGGAAGAATCATTCGTCTTTCAATTAATCAAATGAATGATCTATTCCATATTTTCTTTAATTTTATTTTCTTATTCAATATATATATATATATATATATACACATATACATGCATGCATGCATGCATGCATACATACATATATATATATATATATGTATATATATATATATATATATATATATATAAATTATATAATACCTGCAAGTAATCCATGGGCTACCTTAAGAATCCTCCGGCTTCGAACATCAAAACTAAGAAGGAATCATAAATTAAGAAGCACTTGATAAATAAATTAAGAAGAAGTTTCCATAGCTACTTTTTTCTTTCAGCAAAAGATGTCGAAGTGACATGACACTGGAGGGGAGCACTACGGGCAAAATAGGAATTTACGGCAAATTCTTGAACGGCCGAAGGTTAAACGCTACTTTTATTGGCATTTTGTATTTTGGCTGTTTGGGATAAAAAGCCAAATGAAAAAGTCATTTAACCAAACACTAATGTTAGCTGTTTATCTGGTCAAAAAGCCAAATGTTAGTCAAAATAGCCAAAAAATGGCTGATACGTGCCTCACCAAACACCCCCATAGTATCTTTATCCAACCAACGACCAAGTTTAGTGAAAAACTTAGGAGAGCTTTTAGCCTTTCAATTCATATAGACTGCCTATTCATGTAAACTAACTCATTTTAACTAAAATAAAAATAAAAAACTAAATAACTAAATAGAACTAGATCAAATTTTATAAAAACTGTATTAGAAAATACATCTTATCGAGTCATCTCGTTTCAAGGATTGACATTATAAGATGAGAGCTGCTTGTAGTCTCGGTTCGGCCCCAACAATTTTTCCAGTACATATATATATGTACTAATGTACAATATGCATTAAAAAAGGGCAGCCCACTGCTCGGAGAGGCATCCCTGCAAGGCGAGGTTCCAAGAAAGGCTCCCATCACAAGGGTGTATAAGGGGCAAGCTCTTATCAATTTTTTACTCTTGTCATTTGTTTTGACAAGAGGCTCTTTACCGTGGAACCAATAAACATAAGTGTTAAAAAATTTATGTTAACATATTAGCTTTAGTCTCTGAAATAATTCGCTTAAGCTCCGGCCCCTTAACCTAGGATGGGAGTATGTTAGTTTGCGGTTTGAAGCCAATAATTTGTTAAGATTCAATTCATTCTTTTCTCCATGTTCCTTTACTTCTCTCTTCTCGTTTGTGGTTTCCATGTTTCTTTCTTCCTTTTCTTACTCCTGTTCTCGTTTCATTCTCTCTCTCTCTCTCTCTCTATATATATATATACATATATATATATATACATATATATATATATACATATATATATACATATACATACATATATATACTTCCTCCGTTCTTTTTTAGTTGCAACGGTCAACATTTCACACTTACCAACGCACGTCTTTGACCGTAATTATATCTTAATCTCTATTAGTAAAAAAATATTTAAAAATTAGATTTTGAAAATTTGTAATGAGATGAATTGAACAATATTTTTTTAAAATAATAATTTTCATAAAATAATAACATAAAATGTAGTCAAAGTAGAACTTGTGAATAGTGTAAAATTCAACATGTTGCGATTAAAAAGAGACGGAGGATAGTATATACATACATATATATATATACATATATATATATATATATACATATACACACACACACACACACACACACACACATATATATATATATATATACACACACACACACACACACACACACACACACACACATATATATATATATATATATCATCGTACACTTCTTCCCTCCTTTCAATGCCATTCCTAACTCCCTACACTTCTTACTATATCATGGTACTCAAGTTTTGCGAATGTGAGATTTTGGGCCGATTTGAGGTGAGAAAGTAAGCTTGAACATAAAGAGGATCATTTAATGATTCTGGAGGACCCGATTTCAAATGTAAAATCGAGGGCCCACATTAATATAAAAAATCAAAAAACAATTTCAATCTAAATACTTATACTCAAATTAA